TTGCATCCCTTATTAGTGTTATATGTCCAGAACTGTCTGAGTGGAAAGTGATTCCTCATAACGTTATTATCTTCTCTTGCTGCTTTTTCTTTTCTCCCTGAAAAATTGGTGGATGTGTTTTGGTAGTCTGTCTTGCTTAATGTCTCTCAGAAATATGACATAATTGCTTTCATGGAAGCAGGGTGAGGGAAATGACCTCAATCCCAGACAGACTGAGCTCTCCTTTTTTATCTTACTTGATGCTTCTGGTTTGATAATGGTATGGAGTTGATATTGGTGGCCCTGATAGGAATGACAGTGCTTTTTACCACTTGCTGGTGGAAGTACAAAGCTGTCATGGTTGAAAACCATGGATACAGCTTATAGAGGTCTGTAAAAAAAAAAAAAAAAAAAAAAGTGTGAATAGAAGGGTAGGGATACTTAGGGTTTTTTTCACACCTTATTTTATCATGAGCCGGGGAGAAATATTACTGTGTTAAATTTGCTCATCTCTTTTTCTCTCATAAAAATGAGTATTCTTTCGAAGGTGATAGCTTTCGTATTAACGATGAACCCAATTTTCCTTTTGTTTCTACATCTCAGTACTACTGTGTTCCAGATGTTTGTGAATTGTTATAATATTCTTTCATTCTACTTCTTATGATGTAATATATGTTATCATATTACTAATCTGTCCAGTCTATCTGTTGTCTGGGTTTTATTTTAATCCTTTCATTGTTTGGAATGCTTTTTAGCAAGTCTTCAAATTAGCTTTCTTTTGTGAACTCTCTAACCCACAGTTTTGTGTTCTCTTTGTATTTCTCTTAAGAGTTGAGCATCTCTGAGTATTTTAGATCTTTTTCCTGTCTTATCTGGGTTTAATTATCTCCTTATATTTCTTGTTTATATTGTGATCTGAGCTTCTCTCTTCCCTAAGATTTATTATTAGTCATCTCACATTTAGCTTTCCTTGACTTCACGCCAGTCCCATAGGGGTCTCACACAGGTGTCTATCTCTGAGATGTAAAGAAAATAGGTGTCAAAAGTTTTCTCTAGTTTTTATATTTCTTACTGAGTGGAAAGGAAGAAAAGAAATAAATTATTTTATGGTTTTTCCCTTGCTTTTAACTTCCATTTAGAAAAAGAACCTGCTTCACAGTTTGCTAAGTTACCTTTCTTACCTTTTTGAAGTGTAGCTTGAAGCTATTTAATTATAATAGAAAAAGGTTTAAGTATTTGATATTTTATCAATATTATTTTTAGAAACATTGCTTATATGATTTTTTAATTTTTAAAAATTATTCTTACGCAACCATTAGCAAGGAATGAAGGTGATATGTATATAATGAGTTGGATGGATATTTATAATAAATTATTAGGAAAGAAGCAAAGGATCATATTTATATTTTTTGCTTTGTATACCTTGGAATTTTGCCATTGTTTATAATTGAAAAAAGTACCAAAGAAGAAAATAATGCGTTTAATGGAAAAACTGAATAAACCAATATGTGAAATATAAAGTAGATAATTTAAAACATCAAATAGGAATTTTCATTTTGGATATTTGTAATAACTAGAACATTCTTGAATAGTTGTTTATTTTACTTAATTGAATTTTCTGCTTTGCCAGAAATTCTTTTTGTTTTTGCCCTTGTTACCCATGTACTTTATTCAAAGCATAATTTAAAAAGTTCTTAGATCATTGAGGAAATCTAATTTCTTCTTTTTATGGCCATCATTTTGAATTCTTCACTCTCTTATAACAGTTGGCTTTCTAGTCAGTTGGATACCGTATTGATTCTGCATTGATGTTGCCTGTCGCATCTGTATGCTCCTTTGTAGAGCTACTGCCAGCACTTGTTGTCAGGCCTTTCCTTACCTATCAAGGTGATGGCAGTAGCTTCCTATCCTCTGTGTTTTCTTTGCTTTCTCAGCTTCCCATTTCTGTGTCTTACTCAATCAACTCTTTCTACATATTGCTGTTTTTTGTTTGTTTGTTTTTCCCTGTAGCTCATTTCTTATCGCGTTATTCCCCTGCTCAGATTTCTCTGCTGGCATTTAAGGCCTCTGTCTTTTGGTTCTAATTTAACTTACCATATCAACTTCTCACTACTGTATTATTTTTCTTCTAAAGAGAACAATTTACTGTTTCCAGGATATGCTTTAGTAGCTTTCCTCAACAATGCTTTTGTTTATATTGTTCTTAAATCCAACATACTTCTTTTCTTATTAAGTTTGTTAAGAACTTTATTCTTTTTAATTTACATTTGCCACATTCTGCTTTTTTCATAGGTATTACCATACTTTTTAATACCTCGATTCTAGATTTTAAGCTCTGAGGGTAATATATGAGTTTCAGCCACAATGCCTTCTACCTTGTAAGGATTCAAATGTTAATTGAATTACAAAGCTCACTTAAATGTACAATCATAAAATATAATAAAACCAAAAGTTTTATTGACTTTGGAAGGTAGTCTTGAAATTACTGTATTGAATAAAGCCCTACGAATAAGCACTTCCTTTCTTATACTTTTAGGTTTTTACGTTTAAGTCTAATCTCAGTGAAATGAGGAGTTTGATTTTTTAATGTCCAGAGAGCTGAGATTTTGCTATAATTTTATTTGGGGGATTAAAAATAGACCATATACCTAAAAATTGACTTATGGAGGAGAAGTATAGAATTATTCATTGCTATGAATGGCATTTTTAATAAAGCATCATTGTAAATAATTCATTTTTATTATTTCTGAACATCAGTTGGGTACTAGTTGGTAGAATAACAATGACCTTAAATTAGGAAACAAAAGAGAAAACAACAGTTCCATATCTTGTTGAGCTCATCTTTGGTTAGTTTTTAAAAGAATAGTTTTTAGTAGTTTTCAAGAACTAACCCAGTTAGCTATATAGAAATTGATATTATTTGTGGCATATGGATAGAAAAATATGATTTTAAGAAGATCCCATATTGAATGTATTGTTACCTCTATTGCTTTTGCATTTAAAAATTTCATTCTAACATGAAGAATTAGCATTAACGCTTTTTTGGTAAAATTATTTGAAATAAAGTAAAAAATTTACACATTGTGTTAAGGGCCATCATAAGAAAAATAAAACTATTTCACCTTTTCATTGAACAACATTTAAATAAAAAATTATCTAAGCTTCTCATTCTCTTCTTTAAGCTGAGATCAGTAATTGCAAACATATTTGTGACTTGTTTTTAAAAGCTGAACTTTTAACATAAATGTTATTTTGGTTTACATATTATTTAACACTGAAAAGCTACTAGAGGTTATCTGGTAAATATGAATATTCTTTGTTGTAAACCAGTGGGTGCACTTTTGTATGTCTGAAAGATTATTACAGGTGGGCAGAAATGCTTGTTAATAGTTCCAGTGTCAAGTGTAGAAGTAGTAACAGCTTAGAGGGCAACATTATAATATTTGCTATTTGTTCTTTATTTTGTTAGATTTCTTATTACAGAGAACAAGAGGGCATGAACGCAGTTTAGGCAGATTTATTAGAAGAATGTTTTTAAACTGAGTTCTTTGGCATGTTTATAGACTTGAAGATGAAAAATATTTAGAACACAATGGATTTTTCTTAACATGAAGACTTTTCTAAAAATAGTCTAATTTTTATTAAGATTATAAAGCTAAATATTAAAATATTTATGCTCAGAAATCCAAGTACAAAATTATTTAAAATTTTTAAAATGAATATATTAGGAGATACTCTGTGCTAAATATATTTGTCGAATGAAAATTTTCTTAATGTCTTTATGCAATACTAATTTCTCTTTAAGTTTTCAAAAAATTAGTCTTAGTTGTTTATGCTACATTTTGTCAAATTGAAGCATTTCTTTAATTCCATAAAAGAATACAAAGTAAGGCAGGAGGAAACCGCTTCTTTGCCAAGATTTGACATTATGTCAACATAACATTATTATCAGAAATATATCACTGTTAAATTTGTCATGTAAACCTCAATGAATTCCTGCTATTGCATGGTTCTCATTTCCCCAAGGGATAAGGTATTCAGTAAACTAAATTGGATGAATTTCATTTATTTACATAAAAGTGGTATATTATTGAATTGGTTGTTTTCTTCACAGTCCAACATTTAATTTTTAATTATAGAAGACCACCTAATGAAAACATGTTTCTTTCAATGAGAGATTATTATTGAATGACATAAAAATTTTTTATTTAAAAATGAGTTGCTACTTGATTTAGTGAATACAGTATGAAAAAACAATAAAGAATTGTCCAGTTAACCCATTACAAGGGAGCAAGTATTTGCCTACTTTAAATAACTTATTGCTGTTTTTCAGGTACAGTGATAATTAGCACTCATCAATAGATTATTAGATTATAACAATTGGAAAATACTTGTGTGATATGAGATTCTCAAACCTGATATCTATAGTTAGGATTAGTAATTTCACAGTTTTCTAACATGAATTGGGGATTGGAGGCAAAATGCTTTAAATTTAATTACGTGGTGTAGAGTAAAAAAATTCACAAGATTTATTGCCACTTTAATGACTTTGAGAGTTGAAAAGGACTACTATATTTGGAAACACTTGGGAGCTCTGAGAGTGTAGGAACATTGTGTAAATTGTATGACTCTAAAGTTGTTATGTTTCTAAAGTTAGAAAGAGTTGGCTTTTCTATAATGACATAAAGGCTTTTTTTTTCCTTCCTTGTATTCAGATTTTAGTAGTTAACTTCTGTTATACAAAAAGGCTGACTTGAATAAAGTTAGGATGTCTGTTTATTTTAATGCACTGGTTTTTGCCAGTATACTGTATTTCCAGAGCATTTGGGTTAACTCAACCAAAGTGAGGAAGGAGGAAAGAAGCCTTAATTTTCTTCCTTCCTTTTATTGTCAGTTCATTTGTATATTATAGGCATAGTGCCCTTGATCTTAGAAAATCAGTCTCTTTTTCATAATAAACTTGAATTTCAGAAGTTTCCCTATCTTGATGTGCATATACACGGTTGTTTGTTTTTTGGTTCTTGAATTTTAAAATCCTGATAAATCCTACAGTTTCCTACATTCCAAAAAGGATAAAGTTTCATATATAGTTCATTATTTTTGATGAATCAAATATTATAGCAAGTAGACTATGCTAGAAAACATAATATAGTGGTATAGAAAATCCTGGGTCATTTTGGTTGCTTGGAGCCCATAATTTTGCTTTTTATGTTAAAATGCTATTCCAGTTGTTAACATATAGATATAGTTTGTGGCTTAGAAACAATACACTTTATAAAAAAAAAGAGCAAGGATACCTGTGTCAGTTATATTTTAAAGTTATACAGTGTTTTAAGGCTATGTATTTATTCTTTAGAAAATATGACTTACATAAATATCTTCTGTTGGACATAATATTGACAAAATATACACATGATATTACCTTAACAAACTGCCATGCAACAAATACATTAAGTAATGAAGAAATTGAATATATATGACCTAATCTAATCTTGACATTTACATTGAAAATTTACAACATAACCAGTACTTAAAATGTTTTTCTTATATTTGGCAGTAATTTTTTACAGTTTAAATTTAAAACTTCTGAGTGTGGGTTTGGTGAAACTTAGCCTTTTCCCTAGTCTGTGACAACCTGAGGTACTAAACATTTTTCTCTAATTTCACTATCTTCAAAGGTAATTTTTTTGTTTCTTTTAGGATCTATCCAAGAGTTGTGTATTACAGCATTATTAGGCATGGGATCAGCTTCTACTATGGAAACAACTCGCTTTTTCATTTTACTTTTCAAGACCTTTTGAAATTTTTGTCTAGTAAATGCATATAATAGAGGATGAAATATAGTTGTTCCATAACCCATGACTAGAAAACACAACCTTAATTTTACTAAAAGGTCACTTGGGCCTAAACATAAAATGGTGGTATTTAAAACAGAAATTGGTGTCCAGCAGAGAAGAAATGTAGAAATAATCAATAAAGACATTTTGAAGACCCTCTTTTGCCTTTCTCGTCGTTCACGGTGTCGTTTCATAGCTCGCCGGAGGGCAATTATTACAGAGACTGAAGTTCTAACACCAAAGACTACATTTCTCCCACCACTGCTTTGTGACATGTCTGTAGTCTCGTGTTGTGTGGTTAGAGAAATCGTCTTTTTCTTTCTTGCTTTCTTCTTCTGCCCTGTTGAGAATCTTGTGCCTATTCGAATATTGAGGGCCTGAAGTATTTTGCTGTATGTAATTAACATTACTATGACAGTGAAAAAGAATATTGGGATCTGTACTAGCAGGTGATAATACATTCCCAGTTCAGTGTAGTATTCATTCGTACTGACACACAGAAGTGTCTTGTTTTCCCATGTATTTCCACTTTGAAGGCTGAAAAAATTTACCTCAATAAAGGGAATCAGGAATGAGAAAAATGAAAAAATCCAAATGGATATCATTAGCATTACAGCTCTGCCCATTGTCAGAATTCGGTTTGCAGGCTTTACAGAGATGTCATATCTGTCCAAAGTGATAGCAAAAACGTTGATTGCTGTTGAGACACTTGTAAAAGATACACAGGCCTCATGGAAACAGCAGATGAGAGCAGTGTTACTCTCCAGTGAAAGCAGAAGAATAACTATAGTTAGAGGAATACATCCCACACAAATGATTACATCAAGTACATGAAGATTCATCGTAATAATGTTACTGACAGAGTTGATTAAGTTGGATTTCATGCAGTAAAGTACCAATACGGTGAGGTTGCTGCCAAGTCCCAACACAATTTCTAACATAAGAAATCCGGTGAGAGACACTTGAAAGCTTAATGGATATGATAGTGGTTGGTACATATTGGTGTTGATGTCATCAATGTCATCTCGCACTGTAATGTTAGATTCAGACTGCATGTTGATTTCCAGAATGGGAGAAAAACACATTCTTTTGGAGCAGTTGGTTTTTTCCCTAGAAAGTGAAATAGAATAAACTATTTGATATTTGGCAATTTAAATGACGTACAAAACCTGTGTTCTTTGTAAAAAAAATTTTTTATTGTGTACTTAGTTTAATTTTTAAATTTATAAACTATTAATGGAAAATGTAGAATTAGAAAACATCAAGGTTTGCATTGTTTTGATGTAAAAGGAAATTGGGTTCCCCATTTGAAGAAATAACTGTACTGGGGATTGCTCCTATATAGTTCAAAATTGTTTACTAAACTAAAAAGGTTTTCCTTATTTGGGTTTTTCAAGGTTATTATTTGAGATACAGTATATTTTTGTATAATAAAACTACCCAGTATGCAAAACTAATTTTAGCCCAGTGTTTTAAGATTTCATTTTAAAATGTTGTGAGTAGGTGGAAAATAAACGCTATTTTAACATGTTGTAGCACAATTAGTGTAGGTATAATTATTCCCATGAGATTTCAAATGAACAGGACAAATGTTTACTTAAAATGACAAATGACACAGAGCACTAGTTTGTTTTAAACCACTTTGTCCGTGTTCTTGATTGAAATTCATATTCAGCAGTCAACAGTGTGTTTGGGGTTATCTGGAGTTATTTCCCACTGAAGTAGGCAAATGATAAATATTTCATATTTCTCAGTGAAAGTGCTCACTGAACTTTATAACAATCAAACTTATAAAAATTGGAAAAAAAAGGACATTATTTTGAAGTAAAACACCACAGACCTTAGTAAAAGAGCACTAATCACTCTTAATGAATGAATGATTTATTTTGTGACCACACCCTTTCATATCTTGTAGAAGGAGAAAATTGAAATTTAATATCATATTAAGAAATAGCCATTTTTAAGGTGGTTTAAAAGAATGCATCAGTTGATTTTATTAAACAGAATTTTTAAAGCAAAAAATGAAATTTTAGGGAAAAGGAGTGTCTGAAGCCCATTTTCTGAGGAATCTATTAAAGTTACACATTTCCTGTGAAACCTTTTGTGTAAATCACCCAGTGTATATCATTTTGAGGAAAATTAAAAGAAAAAAACCAAACTCTTGCTAATTCATGTATATCTATGTTTTAATATATAGAAGTTTAGAGTAATTTATAAAAATAATGTCTGATTTGCTGGGCTAAAATGTTAGTAATTAGTATATTTAGTTAAAATATAAAATCATACAACCAACTATATTTCACATTTCAAGTACAGCATTTTGCCTGCAAAATCATAACAAATTATAAAAGCTAATAATTTTCAGAACTCATGTTAGCCTTTCACTTGATGTAACCTTTGACAAGTTTTAGAATATAGTTTTATTTATGCATATTATTTTAAAGGTAGTGTTTCAGAAACACAAATGCTAACATTATTAATTTCTTTTGAGCTTACCAAAGGCATATATTTGAGTAAGTGAAGGTCTTAGCCAGCATTGAAATCCTATAAAAATGGAAAATTTTAAAGTGTGCCAAATTTTCTGAACTGACAGATTAAACATCAGGTCTTTGTCACATCAGTTAGATTTAGAATTAAATAAAGCAGGAGTGTCAATTTAGATGATAATTAAGGAAAATGCATCTACTCTAGAGCAAGATTCTTTTCTCTTGTAAATGTTAAACAGTGTCGTGGGGTGCATGCATCTTCTGACCTACCTGTTTGCTGTTGCCTTATGGGCCTTTTGGCTCACTATAGCAGTTTTTCACAATATGATACATGATGTCATTAACAGATTTGGACATGAATTTTTACCTGACAACAGTGAAGTAGCTGTGTTTTATTTCATGTCTTGTAGGAATTCTTTCATTTTTCTCTCCAGTACTTCAACTGCATGAATTGTGAGATTTAGTTGGCTGATGAATTTCTAAAGACCAGTACAAAATACTTGTGTTTGTTTTGCCTTAAAAAGTCACGACCGAGAGAAACTTCCTCAAATGATAGGAATTGTTTCCCTTTGAGAGAATATGTGATGATGTCTCTTTATTTTCCAGAACATGTGAAAACAAAAGAAACATAAGGTTTCTAGCTTCTAAAATGTACTTAGACATCCTTTTGTTACAAATGTAAATCTGTTTCTATAGCAGTCCTCATTATTTTGAAATGATTTCTTGGTCACATAACTTGGTTATAAGTCCAGTCCATGTTCTCTTGATAAAAACCATCTGCTATTTAATTTGGTTTGTTTTCATTAGAAGAGGATACATAATTGGTCATAAAACTCAGATGGAAAAATCCTTTAGTAATATCAATTGATACGAACATCTGAATATTTAGCGCAGAAAAATACTTGCTAAAGCTTCATTTAGCTTGCTGGTAATGTATATCATTCTCTTGGCAATCCATGTTTCATTGTTTCTTCAAGAATTGGTGGCTCCACAATTTTGGTATGTTAAATTATAAACTCCCCCTTTAAAAATGCTCACCATTTTGTTTTCAGGCTTTTACAGTTATATTTTCATTTTGTGGCTGTTTTATATAGCATCTTCTTAGGATGGTTACTGTCGATGTGTTATATCCCAGCAGTAACGTAGACCTATATTCTCTGGTTTTAACTCCTTAACGTCTTAAAATCATTGTTGCAAGAATATCCTGCAGTTTGTGGTTCAGACAGCTAGGGAGGTGATGGGTCAGATGCATTCTTCATATTGTCAGTTGTAAATACTGAATTAGCTGCTTTGGGCCCTTGTGAAAAAGAAAAAAAAAATGGTTAAGGAATAGGGTTCCTAATAATTTCCTATTAATTGGAAGTTACTTTAGTTGTGTTTATTTAACACCATACACAGTATTTTTTATCAAAGTAAGCAAACTGTATTATTAGAGCCATAGTTATGCATAAATTTAACGGTTTCTTTAAATATTCTCTTTTCCTAACAAAGACTGTAAGTATAATATTTAGTAATAGAGTTAACATTACAAATATTACCATGAAAGAAAAGCTGTATTTTTTAAACCAATTTCTGCTCTCATTTTAGAAGTTAACCTGTATTTTCAGAGATTATGAGCAATTAGCATACATTAAACATACTGTCATTCCCTCTTATCTTTATAATAAATTTTAAAGTATTCCCTGCTGTAAAATATTGTCGCTTGCTTATCAGCACATGGTTTGAATTTTAACTGATTAAAACAGATTCCATGATAAAACACTATAAATTTCCATCGATGAACTGTTCATGTAATTGAAATGTAAAGGGTGTGATGTAAAAGGTGACTGCAAATTAAATAATTTTCAATGAGCATGCCCAATAATAAACCTAAAATTGAGTAATAAATAATAGCTAAATAGTAAAACTGATTCTTTCAAGAAATATAAGCATTTTTTGAACACTTCAGAAAGACTAGTGATGAAATTAAGGATATTCAGTATATCTGAAGTGACTTAAAAAGCTGATATCTATCTTCATAGTGATTCAACAAAGAATATTCTTTGTATTTAACATTGCATCCTAAAAAAATACATTTAAAACATATCATGTCTTAAAATAAATAGATCTAAAAGATACATGTTTAGCAATAAGTAGAATTAAGCAAATAAACTCTTAAAATTTAGGCTGAAATTTTTCAAAGTAATTTTACCCCACTATGCTGGTTCAAAAGCAGCTGAATACTATAATAAGGAACACATCTTACCTCTGCTAAAGATTTGATAAATTCTTGATGTAGTTGAAGCATTTCCAGTTTTGATTGATTCATTTTGTTCACTGGTTAGTAGAGGACTGGGGGAAGAGGGTCATAAACACCTCTTCGAAAAAGACCTTAGTGAAAATGTGTGTCTGTACTGTGCCATTGTTTCAGCAGTACTGCTAATGTATGGAACATGTAGTGCTGCTTGGAGGCTGCTGCAGTCTCTCACTCTTCCTACTGTGGAATCAATAAGCATCTGAAAATACATAATGAAAGTAATTTAACATACTGAAGGCTTCTTGTCTCCAGAGACAGCACTTAGATTCAGTCTTTCTAAAAAGGAATGGCACTGCTTTTCAGAGGAAAGCCTGTTCTGGGCAGCTTTTGCAGAATGACAGCCTACCTTGTGGCTTCTCTCCACTGCAGAGAGATGCAGTGCATTCACTAATTTTGATTGGTCAGTTGTATTGGGCTTAAATTGTGCTTCATATGTATAGCAGGGATTCCCCCCCCACTGTTTTATATAAGGATGCTTTTTTAAAAGGCTGTAGTTATAAGTGGTTGTGTGTTGCTCTTAAATAGAACAGGAGTAAATTAGTCTTTAAAAAAATGCGTATTCTGGTTTGTTGTTCACTTTTGCCAAACATTAAAAAGATATAGGGTGGTGGTGTTGGGGGGGGGCAAGAAAGAATTACATAGTAAAATGTATATATTCTTTTTAAAGCCTCGGATAATTGCACTTGAAAATATTTTAGTTGTATGTATGTTTTTTTGTTGAGATTCTTTGTTCTACAAATAGAAGGGCACTGCATCTTTACTGTGAACCACATTGAATTTCAACTAGTTTGTTTGTATTCAGGTCATCTTCTCTGTGTATTCCAAATTGTTGTGAACATCTCAAGGTGTTAAATATTATTATGACTGCAGTAGTCATTCATTCAGGTATTCATTCATTCATTCAAAATATTAATAAAGCTTGATTTAAGGTGATTACACCCTACAATTTTTTTTTAATTCCACTGCTATTAGTAGAGTCTCAGTATGAAAAGATTTAATCATGTGCATTACTTTTGATATTACTATTCAGTCTTCACCTCTGGTAACCCGTGCTCAGTAGATATGTACCGATCATGTGCCATCATATTTTATTTCAACTGCTGTTTCTGTTTTTAACATGGGTACTTTTAGTGGATTGCTATACTCCAATGCTGTATGCTAATGTTATTGGGTAAATATATTGGTAAAGGAAAAAGGAAGTTAATTACATGTCTTCATAAGTTACAAAGCTAAATTATTTTAAGATATGCTGTCAAAAGAATTAAAAACAATGGTGTAGATAACAAAATATTACTTTAAATTTAAATTTCTGTTAATTTTGGTTACTTATGAATAATTTTCTATTTTCAATATTGAGGAACACATTGAGGAAACCTTTTTCTTAGACTTGAGTATATAAAGTGGCTGGATTCTATATCTCTTAACAAAACAGAAGTCATTGCAAATCACTGAATTATTAGAATATTGATTACCTATTTCCGTTATTTTAGGAATGTTAGTGATGTGCATTTTTTAAAATATGTGCTAGGTTTTTAGTTTGTAATTGAAGTTACTGTTTATAATTTTGAAAATCAGTATACATTTTAATCTTCCACTGCTAATGTTTAAGCTGCACAGGGGGCTGGCTGAATAGTATATGAGCTGTGAGTTGCATTTCCACAGAAGTTGAGAGTAATGTGGTGGAAAATTTTGCTGTGAATTTCTACAGTTTTCTGCAGAGCTTTGGGTGGCAGGGCTTTGATAATGATAAAAATTAAAATATTGTGCTACTTTTCATGCATTTTGAAAATTGGAGAAAAGGATCTTAGAATGCCAGCCATGCTGAAAGGTGTGCACATGCACACATATAGTGTTGTTTGCAGCTTAAAACTAAAAGTAAAGATATCAGTTGAAACTTGTGGTAGAGACGAGAAGTTATTAACATAGTGAAATACATATAGTGCTTTTCTCCCAAAGAATTCAAGTATTTGCTTACATTTATTGTCAAAATATCACCATGAAGTAGAGGAAACAAAGGCAAAGAGAAGTTTAATGACATGAGAAGGTGTAGGTAAGTTAGTCAGTCTAGGTAAGTTAGAAGTCTGCAAACCCCCTTCTAACTATATATAGCTGGCCCTCTCTCTTTGGAAAATTCTGAGGGTAGTTTTGACTTAAAATTGGATGATTTGGGTTCAGTCACTACTTATTAGTTACATGACTTTTGATAAGTCAAGCATTCTCTGGGTCACGATATAGCTTTGACTTTTTAAATTGATGTTATATTTCTGTGTTTTGTTTAGCTCTCTGTGAGACAGTATTTCCAAGTTATACTCAGACTGTTTTGAAAAAATAAATTCTGGGATCTCTGTAAGACATAATGACAGCAAGAAAGTTCAGGTCTAGACAACACCTTTTATTCCCTGTGACTTGTGGTTAGGGATACACAAGATATTACAAATAATGGTTACTTCTTACTGCATACAATGCTTAGTATATTTTTCTTTTTCTTTCTTATTTTATTTTTTGGTCGTGCCACGCAGTTTGCAGGGTCTCAGTTCCCCGACCAGAGGCTGAACCTGGGCCATGGCAGTGAAATCCCCGAATCCTAAGTACTACCAGGGAACTCCCCTATAATTTTCTTTTTTAAAACCACAAATTGGTTTGATGATTATAAGGTTCTTTGATCTCTTAGCAGGATAATTCTAAATTCCTTTGTTTTTAACAAAGAAGAAGATATCTAAACCCCTTGAGTGAGAATCAGATTATATTCTTTTCATGAAAAAAATTAATATCAAATTATAAACATCAGAATTTACAGATTCTTACTTCCATAGCAACAGATTTTCACAATTTTGCATTTAATATATTTTGTATTCATATAGGACACTAATTTTGAAAAATGCTGTAATTAGTGATTTAAAACCAAATGTTACAAAATCATTTTATAGATTACTTATTAATTCGTTAATAATAACCTGGGAAAGCAGTTTAAGTTTCCTAATAATAACTAAGCAACAGATGTGAATCTAACACTCACATATCTCTATTAAAATCCCTCTTCACAAGCTGTGTTTTTCTTTAAGTTAAAAACATTTTGAGTTTTATTTAGTTTAGGAACTAAAATTCCTGATATGGGAGTCCTTGACTTTTAATTTTATATATTTGCCTCCTTAAGTTTGGACAACTTTGAGTATGAGAGAGTAATTTACTGTTCACATTTAAATTTACTGTTCTTATCAGATCATTCTTATCTAGCTTGTGTCTGGCTCTAATGCTACAGAATTTTTGATGATTTTGAATTTGTAAATAAAAAAACCTCAACTTTGTGAAATATTGGAATTAACCACAACTGACAGTGCTTTGAAACTATTTGCAAAGTATATATGCGAAAGCAGTTTCTAATTGCTGAAAAATCACTTTTTAAATTGTATTGCTTCAAGAGTACTTTTTCAGTGAATACTTAACATAGCTAACTCTCAACTCTCTCTGATACTAGAGGCCAAGGTAGAAAGGATTATTTCAGTTTAAAGCCAATTCAAAAATTTCATTTGGCTTCTCAACTTTAAATTTCTATCACAACAAATGTTTTACCAGAAAAATAGAAATGGACCATCTGCTGAAACCTCCCTCAAGTGGGGAGTAGCCAGGGTAGTAGAGAGTCAACAGTATTGGTGATTCATTATCTATAAAAGAGGATAATTGAAAACTGATTATAATTGGATAAAGTACATGCATCAGAATTGTATGTCTTAACCGAAAAACTCCAGCATTCTTCCCCATCCTTCCCTATCTCACCTAAGTTGGGCATTTAAAATTTTTCATTTTTATTTTTTACAGTATGTGATTGTAAGTCATTTGCCAGCATCTATTACAGCAATGAATACATGGCATTTCTTTCCTTTTTTCTCATCTAAACCTCGATTTTGGACCCTGTGACTATTACTACTTAATCTCCGTCTGTTGTCCTACTGTTGGCATGTTGTTTGGGGCCCTTGTCCAAATTATTACGACCCATGACCCTAATTTTCTGGCATGCTCTTTTGACTGCCTTATACCCCTTTTTGCATTTTTAAATATTACGGATTTTGTTGATGTTTTTCTCATATTTCCATCAAAGAATTACACACACATGTTTATGCTTTTTTTTCCCACATTGGTTTCTCTTTCTGTTGCTGCTTCATTTTTCTTATAATTCTTCTATT